TTTTTTTTTTTTTTTTTTGGTACCGGGGATTGAACCGCTTGTGAGACAGGCAGCGGAACCACTGAGCTAAATCCCCGGCCCCAAAATAAATATACTTTCGGAAGTACTTTTTACCACATAAAACTGGACTTTTCAATATGGTCGTGGTGATGGGTGCATTTTATAACTAATGGGTCCATTTTTTTCAAAAGGGTCTAAGTGTTTAAACCAAAAAATATGATACGCTTCAGAAAGCATCAGACTCAGTGGGAGCAAAAGAAATAAGTAAATAAATGCCCTCAAATTCTCTTCAGGAAGATGCTTTTTTCTACAGGGGAGGAAGCCGGGCTCCCGGTGAGGCTGCAGGGCTCACACTGGTCCTGAGGCGCCCTCGGCAGACCCGACGCAGTGCTGCTCTCCCGGGAGGCAGGCGCGAGGCCAGCACCCGGTGCGGCTCCCAAGCGGGAGCGCTGCCAGCCCCGACAGGACAGAGCGTGGGCCGCGCCAGAAGGGGCTGGGGACGCCAGGCTATCAGGAGGGAGACGCTGGGGAGCTGCCCTGGCCTGCCCTGCCCTGCGCTCAGCCTCGCCTCCCCACGCCACGCGGCCCTGGCCCTCGCCCGGCAGGAGCTCGGCCTGGGTGGGAAAGGCTGCCCTGGCCTTGCGTCCTTCACTGGCCCACGCACCCCACGCACCGGGACGGGCCCACCACCTACGTTCCCTCACAGCGGCTCATGAGAGCCAAGTGTGAAACGCGAGAATGACACTGCGGGGCTTCTCGGACGGCACGCGGAGGAGACGGCGAAGCGTGGACGCTGCTACTCACTTGTCCTTTATCTCAAAGCGCTCGTGAAGCCATCTTTTCATAGAGTCCTGCTCCTCTGGGATGTCTTTTCTGTCGATACGATCAACGTGGATATGAATTTTTGGACTTTGTCTGCACAGGAATTCTAACAAAGAGCAAAAATATTTCATTTTAATAAGCCATAGTTAAATAATGTCATTTGTATAATGAAAATGGGGCCAAAAAAGGTAAAAACAAAAAAAAAAAAAACCCCAAACAAAAAACAAAGCTGGAAGGAGACGGCAGCGTCCAGCCTGCTGTCCCGGGTCCGCCCTCTGAAGACAGGAGTGGCTTTGGTTATACTCTCCCAAATGCTTCTCATTCGAGATTTGTTTCTTTAATCTGTATCATAGATAATAGCTCTAAGTCCTAAAAACAGCACCAATTTGAAAAAGTGACACTTCCTTGTCATCAGAGAGCACTAAATTTCCCAAATACCCGTGAGACACACATAAAGATCAGCACCGCAGCCAGCCCGCCCTGCCCTGCAGAGCTCGTGTGTGCACTTTGTGTGTGCGTGCTGCGGGTAGAGGCCTGGAGGAAGCCTCCCACGGTGTTGAGTGGCAGGCAAGGAACAGCACATTTGGCAGGGCTAGTGAAACATCAATTGCGGCAGCCGAGGAACATCTTCAAAAACAAGTCGAGGAAATGAAGGAAGGTTCACGGACCTATTTTTTAAATGCATGCACACGTTCACTAAAGCCTGACTTGCGTGTGTCATAAAGTAACTCGCTTTAGCATATGCAAACACGAACTCACCAGTCATGCCTGTAGTTTCTGTATGCTGCCCTTTGTCCTTCCCTTCATAGACCACTGTGACATCATAAATGGCATCGATATACTTCTTCATAGAATCAAAAGCAACGTATGTTGCCTTCACTCTTGGTGTCAGCACGTATCTTAATACTGGAAGGCCTGGAAAGGACATAATCAGCATGGTCAGTAATTGGGAACACATTAGGTTCAATACCTAAATTATTCCTTGGTTTCACAAACAAATATACTCAGTGTCATAACCTCAAACCTGTAGGTTTCGAAAGCACTCACGCCCTTTTCTGCTTCAATCGACAGCCATTTCTCACCCTGAGGAACAGCTGCACGCACGCACGCACAGCACCATCGGGAGGGGGCCGGGGAGCCGCCCTCGGGCAGCAGTTGGCGCGGCGTCACAGGCGGACGCCAGGAGCCCGATTCCGACAGCCGCGTGAGGGCAGCAGCATCTTGCCCACAATCGCTCAAGCTCAAGATGTTTTAAGAGCGCGCGGTTCATTATTTCTCACTCCCGGTCCACGCTTCCCGTGCACGCGCGCGTGTGTGGTACCCAGGACAAAACCCAGGGGCTCTCGAACGCCACACAAGCACTCTGCCGCTGAGCTACTCCTCAGCCCTTTTTATTTTATTCTGAGACAGGATCTTGCTAAGTTGCCGGGGCTGGGCTTGAGACTGTGATTCCCCTGCCTCAGCCTCCCAGAGTGCTGAGGTGACAGGTGTCACCACTGCAGCCAGTTCCATAATTTCTTTAACTCTGCTTCTGTTCTGTTCCAGTTGACGCTGCAGAGGGAAGAATCACGCAAATGACCCCCTGTGTCCAGCATCTGAAGTAAGAAAGATGTGGTCCATGTGTTGGGAAATACTCATCTGGCATTTTTAAGCTTACCTGAAGACTATAGTTTTTCAATGTATTTAAAAAAACGAACTGGACCAAGCACACGACTGCGGAGCTCCCAGTCTCCGGAGGCGCGTGCCCATCACCACTGTCCGGCTGCAGACCTCCCACTGCCCGGCCGGACGCCCTCACCCCTGCCTGCCAGCGCCCCGCTCCTGTCTCCGTCCGCTCACCGTGGACGCTTCAGTGTGAGCCATTCCATGCCGAGCTTCATTCACTCAGCGCGGGGCTTCAGGGCGCACTGCGCTCCTGTACCGGTCAGCTCCGCCCGAGGTGTGGCAGCCCGCGCTTACCTGCTCACCAGGGCACGGTTACCTGGATGTTCCCACCCTGGGCTCCCCTGGCAACGCACAACAAACTCGTGAAGTACGTGCGAATGTGCACGTGACAGGATTCCAGGCCTCGTGGGACCTCAACTGTGTAGTCACAGCAGCTGCCTGCAGGCTCCCCAGGACTCCGCTCCCTTCCCTGCTGCCCTGTGCCTGACAAGAACATCACCATCAGCTCCCTGGCGAGACAGGAGTGCAGACTGGCAAGAACCTGCCCCTCAGGGAAAGCAGCTGCTCACGGAGGCAGAGGCTTGGCGGGACAGCCCCACAGAGGGCCCTTAAAATGTAGGCTGGGTGGGAAGGGTGCCCCGCCCGAAGTCACAGCTGACCTAAGTCCAGGGGCAGAGCATTTAATCTACTCGCAACGCACACTGGGAAACCGCTTCCCAAGTCCACAGTCCACAGAGCCACACGCAGTATTCAGTACAGCACTGAACACGACAGGATCAGCAACAGCCCGAAACAGCCTCACACAAATAAAGAAAAAGGACTGAAACATCAGCATGGTGACAGGCAGGAAACGGCCACCAACAATATGTAAAAAACTACAAAACAAGGGGCCGGGGATTTAGCTCAGTGGTTTTGGCGGCGCAAGGTCCTGAGTTCAATCCCAGGTACCAAAAAACAAAACAAAACAAAACTACAAAACAATGCTCTCATTGAGGAACACACGGGGCAGCTCTGATTTCCCGACGTGTGTTGTCCAGTCAAATTCTCTTCGCCTCACCACACCCGGCATGTGCTGGGCAGTGGCGGCCCAGGTGCCTGGGAAGGAAATGGAGACAAATGAGGGCACCGAGGAGGCCACCCGCCACGCCCCTGCTGAGCGGAGGACGTCAGCTCACAGCGGTTCTGCGAGGCGTCCAGGTGAGAGCTCAGAAGACGGCCGGCCAACGCTGTCCTGTCGGTGTGACAGCACACGCTCTGCCGGTTCCGGGCCACTGCACCTCGGGCCGAACTCACCACTACCAGACAGACCCCGGAAGCCCCTGCCCTGGGGAGACGGGCAGGTCCTCCACCGACGAGTGGCTGCAGCTCCAGTGGGACTGGGCACTCACTGCCGAAACCGTGAGTCATTGTTACAGAAACCACCTCACACAGTGACAGAGACTGAGCCCGATGGCAAGGTGCTCCGTTCCGATTGACACTCCAGCCGAGCCCAGGTCCCGAGACGACCCTGCTGCCAGGTGCCACGCGAGGGCCCTGAGCTGAAACAGAAGCAGAGCTCGCTCCGTTACCCCTCCCTCCAGGTGGGCATCCAGCGTCTCCCCTGGTGCCCACCCTCCTCCTTCGCATCTCCACGGCGCCTCGATTTCTATGAACTAGAGCTGAAAACAGTCCACCTCACCCTCTGACCAGGTCTCTCTCTAGCCCTTTATGCTGGTGGTGGGTGTAACTCAAACCCTGCAGTTGGTACTGGGCTTTGGGAAGACTATAAATAGACACATCAGGCAGGAAACAGTCATGATCTATGTAGAAAATGTTACACTTTAGTACAGAACTCAGTCTGCAATGTACTTATGATATATTTCTGCACCTGACTTCCTCAAAGTAACAGCTCAGAGAAGAAAAATGAAAAGTAACATAGCCAGCAAGATCTTACAGTATCCAACTCAGTACTTTTTCTATTCTATACTGAGTAAAAAGCAAGGCACTATTCTAAAACTACAAACAGGTAGGTTAGAAATTGATGAGGCAGTGTGGCGCACACCCGTGATGCCAGCACTCGAGAGGCTGAGGCAGGAGGACCCTGCAAGTTCGGGGCCAGCCTGGGCTACACAGTGAGAGCCCTATCTCAACAAAACAACAAAAATTTTAGGAAGCAATAAGAAACAAATAACTAGAGAACAAGGATGAGTGCTTTAAACGATATGAAATATTCTCAGAATACAAATATGACTCATATTTAAGATGTCTGAAGTCACTCATAGTTCACTGGTGGCAGCTTCAGGAGAAAGGAGCACTGGGAAGAGCCTAGGAGGGGAACATGGCACCCGGCGTGGATCAAGAGGAGCCGTGGGGGCTGCACAGCTCAGCGTGGGGAGGGCTGGGACTGCTCAGCATTGGCACCAGGCTGGAGCTAAGCAGGGTCAGCTGAGGCACTGGGAAGTGATCTGGAGGACTCAGGTTTCAGGAGCTGTTCAGGACACTGGGTCACAGGCAGTGAGGCGCTGAACTGCAAGAGACGCGCACGTGGAAAGAGAAAATGTAGTCAGCGCTGCACAGACACTGAATCAAGCAAATGAATGTGGTACTGCAGGAGGCTCGTGTTCTAGAAGGCACGGATCAGGCTGTGCCATGCGTACTGGGAACAGCTGGAGGGAGAGCCAGGAAGCATTTGTGTGTGCACATCTCTCCCAGAGAGGAGTGGGGAGGGCAGGAAGAGACCGCCAGTTCACACCAAGCACGAGGATGCTGAGGTAACAGAACTCTCTAGAAACAGTTGGAAATACGGTCTCTGAAATGGCAAGAAGCAAGGAATCCAGTCCCATGCAATGCACTGCTCGCCCTGCCAACTCCACGCCTGTGGGTTCAGTGCCCTGGCCGCGGTCACCTGCCAGCTCCAAGCCTACTCTGTTTTATTTCCTCTTGGTTTAGGGCAGCAGAGGCACAAACCAACTGATGGACCTGACTGTGGACAAGGCCAGCCCCTGGGAGAGAAGGTACCCTGGAGAGCCAGCACTCCCAGGAGAAAGAATGGACTGGCCAGCAGCACTAGCCCTAAGAAAAGCCCAGTTGCTGTAAACTACAAAAAGCATGGGGTTTTACACCAAAAGTGACTGCTTAGCAGTAGCCAGAGTTGGAGAGGAAACTCAGTGCCACACCGCCCTGTTGCCAGAGTTTAATCGACTTCCTTGTGGGGAGGGGTTAACTGAGTAGGTCTGAAGCACACAGCAACTCTACTTGGGGTTTCCAGTGGTTCCCTCCCACAGTGACGGGGTGAGAGACACAGGAGACGGCTATGGAGTGGGTGCAGGTTAGACATAAACCCACTGAGAATTTCGGCTCAGGCTGGGAAAGACATGAGCCCCAGCCTTCACAGTGAGCAACCAGGCCCCGAGAGCGTGGTTTCAACAGCAGCTGGATCTGAAAGTGCCTCATGTCCAGTAGTCTGCTCTGACTGCCTTCCCCATATGACAGGTGAGCATGGGCGGCTGCCACAGTCAGGTACACAGACAGAGTGGCCTCTGGGGCAGGAAGACCCCTCACAAACCCACAGGCTGTAAAGTCAGGCAGAGAAAATCCTGACTGGCTGAGTTCCAAGCCTGCAGATCCTGGAAAGAAACCACTTATTCAAGAACACAGAACAATTTTTTTTTTTTACTCAAAAAAGTTTTTTTTTCTTTCTTTTTCCTATTTTAGTGGGAAGGAATTTGGACTTTTTTCTTTTCTCCTTTGAATTTTTTATTTTCTCATTCTTCTTATGCTATAGTTTTTTCCTTCTTTTTGTTTTTACTTTTCTGTTATTTTGCTCTAATACAATTAATTTCCTTTTACTCAATAGGATCCTTTATTTTACTGTTCTTTCCTCCTTCTCAGCATCCATCAATTAATTTTTCAAATTCAACTTTTTTCAATCTCCAGTTCATCATGCTCTTTATCTTTATCCTTCCTAGTACAGCCATTAAGTTTTATGAATTTTTAGATAGCTAGTTAACTCTATGTTATTACTGTTAAATATTGTTTTATTGTTAGTGGAGGTAAATCTGTTACATTTAGTAGTTATTTCCTGTATGTCAACATTTGGTTGTCTTAGTATTTATACTATAATTATAGATCTTTCTATGGTTAAAAGTGGCACAGTACTGGTTTTTCGGTATGTCACTATTTATCTCTGATAGTGTTACCAGTGCTGATTTCATTGCTATTGCCAAGGTGGCATAGTTATTGCTATTAATAAGTTTTCTCTGAATGCCAAT